ATTCTTCCAGTACGGTCCCAAGCAAGCTTGGTTAATAAGAGATTTATTATACGATACGACTGGAGTTCAAAGGGACACAAGTGCAGTATCATTCGGGACCATTCGGGACAGTGCCCGGTCCAATACTGAGAGAATATTGACCGGCAATAGAGCATTTTGATTGGTTGATTTTAGTTGTTGGCCCTCTGACTGCCCAAGTCGTGTAATAAAGAAAACTATCAACGAGGGGATTATTATTTGACTTAAAACCAAATTCTCAAAAGCAGACAAATTCTCAGAAGAATTACGGTTGAGATGTTGGGAGTGAAAGAGTTTGCTTAAAAAATAGCCAAATACTGTTTGTATATGACATACCCATAAATACTGTATTACCTGTTTGTTATTGCTATGTGCAGATGAAAAGAAGAGTGCTAACTGTCAATCTGGAACTATAGAGGAAGAAACTAAAAAAGAAAAGTTAGTTGTCAGCACTGTGTCTATCATTTGTTCCTGTGGAAAAGATCCCACAAATGCTACTAGCCAGAGCTGTCAATCATTTACGCACACAGCTACATTACTTGTTGCAGTTCTTATGCAAAAGAATTTAACTGGTGATCTTACCAAATCAGAGGACAAGGTTAATGTTGGTTTTGATGCCATTCAGCTATGTCCGCATATTTTGGTTTATGATATCTTAACAGACTCAGGAAACAAATTGGAGGAATCAACTGCAAAGCCTGCTTTCAATGTGGACAGTTGTATTGATTTAGACAAGGATATGCTAATGCAAGATCCTTATGGACTGTCTGGTAGTGATGATGATTTTGTTTACGACGAGCTGCCCCTTACCCAGCCACCTCCACCTGTTCTTCCTCCAGATACACTTCATTCATCTGTTTTGCAGAAGTTTGCTGAGGCTATAACTGGTGATTTGAGTTCAGATCCAGGAAAGACTAAGAAATCAAAAGAAGAAAGAAATATATGTGCAAAACTTGTTCAGAGTGTTGACATGTCAAAAGTTTGTGCTAATTGTTGTTGTAAAGTGTCTGGTATAGTCCCATTTGGGGACAGTGAACATCTTTTGGTCAGTTTTGTGTCATGCTCTTCTTGTGGAAGCATAGATGATCTTAGTGAAAAAAGGACAAACTTTTTGGCTGGAACAGAAGAAAACTGCTCGGAAGGGAACCCTCCTAAAACTCTTCACAATGAGCACAATTTTAATCAGAGCACACTTGCAGTGTATGATATACTTATCAGTAATAGTAAAAGAACGTTGTCACCTCAGCCTATAAGAACAAAACAATTCTTGGCTACAGAAGGTCTGTTTAGTACTATAGTGGCTCTTCCAATAGAGAGCCATGACCTCATAGGGGACTTGAATTTGTGCTTTCAAGATGCTGAAGCAGAAATGTCTCCAGAGAGACCTCTTTTGGTTGGTGCTGTTAAGAGCAGTGTTATTCTCATTGATGCAAACTCTCTAAATGTACTCACCAAGTTTTCAATATCAGATGGAAACTCAAACATATCTCATGTCTTGAATTGTCCTGGGATGGATTGCCTTTGTGCATGTGACCAGGATGGAGCAATGCATTTCCTTGGTTTGCGTCACCATCAAGCTGAGGATACAAGTCTAGGGAGTCTTGGGCAGGACAGGACAGACAGTGTTTCTCAGGTTCCCCAAACAGGGTCTTGGTCACAGACAGGTGATAGTAGAAAACAAATACAATCAATGAAATGTTCAACCTTATTAGACCATTGGATGAGACAAGGATTGACAAAATGATTTTCACGGTGAACTGCAATTCTAGTTCTTACAGAAACTATAACAGGGAACAAATTCGTCTTGCTACTAATATTTGGCCTTTTTTTTAAGTTTGCATTGCCCAACTAGAATATGGGATGCATGGGTTCAATGCCTGTTCAAGCCTGGATTCTTTACTGACCCTGAGTTAGGGCTCATTTTGCTTGAGTGCTGGGAAACCAAACCCAAATAAGTCACAACAGCTAAACATAGTACAGGAAAATATCTGAATAGGCCAATCACATTTCAAGGTAACAACAAGAAAAGTCGCAAATTCTCCTACCTAATTTGCAAGGAAATATATTGAAGCTAGATGGGAGTATTTACAATTCAGATATTTAGTGCTATGTGGTCAAGGGAGATCCTCTACATGCAAGTACTAGAACTGGACACTAATCTCCACATTTTAAATTTCCATCAAATTATTTTAAAGATCATAGATACGTCATGCATCAAATAATGGTATAATGTGTCTGATAAATATTTTTGCAGCTGTCGCCCTTAATCCAGATGAACCAGTGTCTATGGCAACCCTACTTTCATTGGTTCAACTGACAGAGTTTGTGACGCTGATGCCACGGTTTATGGCATCTGTGCCGTCGTCATGGGTAGAAGTTCAACAGGACCAGCACCGGCTTCACCAGCACACCTTGGTAGATCCTGTATTACATACCAGGACGTGGAAACTGCGTGCAGACAATAGCAGGCAAGTTATTATGTTTTACAGCAGGGAAACATAACCTTATTATGAGTGGCATATAGACCACTTTCATAAATTTATTCTTTTGTTTAAATTTAAATTAGCCCTACTGGCCTCGTTCTCCAGTACAAAATTCAGAAGAATACATTATCTCAAGCGAGGCCAGAAGGGCTAATTTAAATTTAAACAAAAGAATATTTATAGGGCAGCCATTTATGAAAGTGGTCTATGGTGTCAGACACTCGTCTTTCTCTGTATGTACACTCACCCAAAATGTGCATTCATGAATCCTTTAGTGTACAACTTATCTCTTTAGAACGTGAGTAATGGAAAAATTTAAACACATTCAGTTTATTACTTTTCAGTGGTCTATTGCACAAACTGATATGGAAAAAACATTTTGCAAATTTCATCCATCTTAAACCACAAAATCATTGATCCACAAAATGGAACTGCTGACAAAATTGTCCATGTCACGCTGTTATTGTATTCCTCTAAAGGCAATCATTTTTGTGCTAAGAATTCCTAAACATGGTCTAAACAAGGATCTTGAATACTTAAGCTAGGGGGTTAAGCTTTCAAGCAGTGTGCTGGTGCCAAAGCAATTGCCTGATGATGTTGGGAGTACAAGCTTTCTAATACATTTGTTTACTCTATCATGACAAATTAATTTTCAGACTTAATACTATGTCTGTATACGTTTAATTGGGTGTCGTTATTGTTAACATTTTTCTTTTGTTCGTTTCAGCTTTTTGACCAAAGAACAAGTTGCAGAAATTGTTCTTCCAAGATATTGCCAAGTGGGTCATGTAGACATCAGATTTTCTTTGAGCCCAATGACCACCCAACCAGCAACCAACGTTTACCTTGTAAAACCTCCATATCCCAGCTCCTTTAAACTCACTCACAAGAGTTATCCACTGCCATTACCAGAGCATCAGAAGAAGGGAATTCTGGCGTTGGCTCAAGAGCAAAACACTATAGTGTGTGGTCCTGTGAGTCTGAAAATGGGACTTGATAGTACTGGACGCCATGGTCGTGTGACCCTGACAAGCCCAGAGCTGATCAAATACAGCAGCAGGATTCTGTTGCTTGTGTTTGACAACTGTGGTCCTGGTGAAGATTTAGCTGAGGTTTCGGTAACAGTGACAAGGTTTAAGAACAACTTCCCAGCAGAATGTCACAAGTTGAGGAGTAGTTTGCTGGAAGACAGCAGCCAAAGACTGCTTGATGTTGTTGTTGGATGTGAGTCTGTCCAGGGAGCAGTTAAAGCTGATGATGGAAAAAAGTTGGCTCTTGAGCTTCTCTGTTGGATTGCTGGTGTCTATGTCAACTGGAAGACTGGGTAATTTCATACATGCGTCATGGCTAGAGCAAAATTCGTTTGAGCATTAAGTCTCGTAGCAGTGTATATGAGTGGCCAATTTGCCAGAGCTAGAAACTCTTTACGGTGACCAATTTGCATCTTCAACTCTATTGTTAAAATGCCAAATCATCTTACTCCCCCCCCCC